GGTTACAAAGTTACAAGAAGTATATGTTAATTATGTCTGATTATGATATAAAGTTGTCAAGATGATGGTTGGTATTACTGTTAATGACTTTGGCTTATTTGGGATTGAGACTGGGTTGGGGTCTGGTGATTGGAATATGGTGGATTAGTAAGAAATATCGAGGCTTGTAAGGGCCTGGACTGGTAGAACATTCCAGAACATGAAGTAATGAAGGGCTTGTCAATACCTTAAGTGATGATTGGAAGCATTCAGCAATCACACGATGCCTTGAGAAAACACTTGGAGCAGGATGAACACTGTTGTAGACCAATCATGGCCCGGGAAAGCGGCCAATCCCAAAGAGGATCCAAAACGGACCAATCCAGGACTTGGGAAAGGGAATAAATCAGGGTGTTGGTGGATAGCTGAGGTTATTTCATTGGAAAAGCGTATTTGTGCTGTTTGTTGTTATCCTGGTTTGTAGGGTGGGGTACACAAGCTTAGCTTGGTCTCCCTTCGGCCATTGTTCACATTTAATAAATGAGCCAGACTTTTCCATCAGAAAGTCTCGTTTATAACAAGCCTCTTAAAATCGCTCCCAATTTTGAAAAATGTTAACTCCTAGATGTGTTAAGAAACTTTAAGCATTCTCAGACAACGTGCTTTATACCAAAAGCGAAAACTTCAAGGAAGACATAGTTTTTAATTTTTAAAAAATATACAGAAACTGAATTGAGATTTTTAGTTAAAGCAGGAATTCAGGCTTATCTCCAAAGCTACCTCTGGAATTTCCATCTAGGGTGGGGTTGGGGTTTGGGAACACCAGAGATGTTCAATATTGCAGCTGGGCCTGGTGTTGTCCTGGCCCTGTTTTTACTTGCACACGTGCACACACCCCTCATCTGTTGTGTTCTCACTGCCAAGATAGGGGGGACTTGCCAGATTGTAATGCAAACTGAACATACATATATATATATGAAGTGTATTTCTTAAAAGTTCGGTATTGTATTTTTCAATCCAGCCCCAAATTCCACGCCCTCCACATGTCAGGCTGTCAGAGCCTCATGCTGTTCCCCAGGATCTCATGGCCCAATTTTAAGAGCAGGTACGTTGGCAGTTAATCTCCATTTTCATGAAAGACAAAAAAGAGATGTAGCAATGGATTAGAATTTTATTTCATTTTCAACTGAAACTCCCAAAAGCTCACTCTCAACAAATCAGCCGTAATATTATAAATGAACCTTTATTAAAGACACTTCAATGCCGTTTGTTAGACACTTCAATATCTTACATGTTTTTCAATGTACAACATTGTACCAAATTTTCTAATAAATAAATAAATTTGTACACAAATGTAATACTTCCTCTTTCACATTGCCTCTTAGAAGCAGCAAATTCACATATTTAGTGGAAGTCATTAGGCAGTTAATTTTATTCAGAAACATTACTTTCAATGTTAACATGGCAAATATGCTTTGTATCTGCACTGGTGATGATATTTCTGCCAGCAAAACGAGCCCATTGGATCATTCCCATCTTCCTCGTGTCCCTGGTTCCATGAGTTGGTTCTGGAGCACTTTTCCTTTCAGTGAAAGGAAAACTCTGCTCAGTTTATAATTTTATAACACCCTTTTCCTTTGCTTTCAATAAACTTGGCACTCAACATAATTCACCACCTGTCTCAAAGTGCAAATGTGTCAATAGTCAGGGACTGGGACAGACAGGTACTGGCTGAATTATGCCTGGCTTCATCCAGGGGCAGCTGCTGCTCTCCCTGACCCTGAGGTCCTTCCCTTAGAGGAGGAGCTGATGGCTCTTCAAGCTAAGGCTGGGTAGGACCAGCTTGTGATAAAGCCAAGGGGCAGCTTGCAGCCACTCCCTGAAACCCCACAGGTGCAGCAGCGCTGGGGCAGCTCCCTCAGTGATGGATCTCAGGTGAACATGAAGCGTTTCTGCCCTTATCTCTGCTGCTTGTTCTAAACCACAGTCCTGGCAAAGGTGGATTCCCAGACTCAGCCTCAGTGGAACTGGTATTAGAGTTGCTCCTAAGGAAAAAAGTAACAACCCCACCCTCCCCCCGTGATAAACCTGCCCCAAAGTAGTCATCACCAGAGTTAGCAACCTCATGTTAGCAGAACTCAAATCACAAAGAACTGGGAGTCCTCCATCCACAGGTACCAGCAAACACCAACAAAAAGCAACCTTTCTATAAATAAAAAGTGTCATTGTGAAGTCAGAAGTGACAAAGATCTGTTTGACTCAGGTGGACATTTCTTTATACCCCCCCCATTTATAGAGGAATTTAATATTTTAAATTTAAAAGAGGAATTTAAAAGACCACATAAAAACATTTGGGGTGTTTCCATTTGAAAGTCTATTCAACCATGAATCCAGAGTTTTCCTTATAAAACAAGTTTTTCTAACTAGCCCAGAATTGCTACACAAGGCAGCATAACTCACTTGAAGGTGATATTTTCATACAGAGAGTCTGGCTGTTCAACTACAAAGTGTAATATTGTGTTACAAGGGGGGAAAAAAAAAGTATTGGATGAATTAGTGATACAGCTGTCCCCTTAGGAGTGCAGTTTAGTTTTGTTGTCAAAACAGCTCTATGGTTTCAGCCCCCACTGGAGCAGATGTGTTTTTTGGGTGTGAAGATGCATTATACTGGCAGAGGTTATCTATTCTAAGCAGGGCAAGGCTGGATTTGCTGCACACACCTCAGACAGGTAGAGCTGGGTCCCTTTGGGAGGGGAAGGGCCTGTGGTGCTCAGTGCTGTGCCAGCACACATGGCAGGTAACACCTCCTGCGATGACGTGTTTGAGAGGTGCGCTCTTACGAGACCACCCCTGGTTTACTGCACAAGTTATTTATTTTGGTAACAACTTCTTCCCAGTCAAAACAGCCTTTTCCTCTGGTTGTCTTGGGGCTCTGCACTGTTGAAGAGTTATTTAGTGCCTCCTGTGTGGTCCATGCTAAAGTCTCACACAGTCACAGTTCAAATGCAAATTGTATAAAGTTTTGAAAAATAATGGAATTTAAGTTCTTCCACCAACAGGAAAATATCAGGTTGCTATGTAATTGCTCACTGCTTTTTTTCTTCATAAATTTGACACAGTTGAAGATCTCTGTTATTGAATGTGTTAAGTACAGTAAATTTTCAAGGGGAAGGAAATTTGTGCTAAGAAACCAAATCGAATCAGAGAATGTCTTGGGTTGGAAGGGACAGAATCACAGGATTAACTAGGTTGGAAGAGACCTTTGAGATGATCAAGTCCAACCTATGACCTAACTGTATCATCTAAACCACGGCTAAGTGCCAGATCCAGTCTTTTTTTAAACAGCTCCAGGGACAGTGACTCCACCACCTCCCCAGGCAGCCCATTCCAATGCCCAGTCATTTTTTGTGAAGAATTTTTTCCTAATGTCCAGCCTAAATTTCCCCTGGCACAGCCTAAGGCTGTGTCCTCTTGTCCTGTCACTGGTTGCCTGGGAGAAGAGCCTGACCGCCATCTGACCACAGCCACCTTTCAGCAGGTTGTAGAGTGATGAGGTCACCTCTGAGTCTCCTTTACTCCAGGCTAAACAACCCCAGTTCCCTCAGCTGTTCCTCACAGGGTTTGTGTTCCCAGCCCCTCACCAGCCTCGTTGCCTCCTCTGGATGTGCTCAAGCGTCTCAAGGTCCTTCCCAAACCGAGGGCCCAGAACTGGACACAGCACTCGAGGTGTGGCCTCACCAGTGCTGAGTGCAGGGGAGGAATGACCTCCCTGCTCCTGCTGGCCACACCATTCCTGATCCAGGCCAGGGGCCATTGGCCTTCTTGGTCACCTGGGCACACTGCTGGCTTGTGTCCAGCTGCTGTCACCAGTACCCCCAGGGCCCTTTCTCTTTGGCCACTGTCCCCAGCCACTGTCCCCAGCCTGTAGCGCTGCTGGGGTTGTGGCCAATGTGCAGGACCCAGCACTTGGACTTGTTAAACTTCAAGTGGTTGGACTCAGCCCATCTATCCATCCTGCCCTGACCTTAAAGGTGATGTTCCAACCCCCTACCATGGGCAGGGAAACCTTTCAGTGGTCCAGGTTGCTCAGAGGTCCATCCAGCCTGAACACTTACAGGGACGGGACATCTGCAGTTTCTCTGGCAACCTGTACCAGTGTCTCACCACCCTCACAGGGAAAAATTTCAGTTTCTTCTGTATCTAATGCAAATTTCCCCTTTTTCAGTTTGAACTCATTACTCTTTTTCTCGTCACTACAGTCCTCATTATACTGAGGGCACCAGAACTGTGTGCAGAAGCCCGGGTGGGGTCTCACCTGAGTGGAGCAGAGGAGGAGAATCTGCTGCCCACAATGCTCTGGATGCAGGCCAGGACACGGTTGGATTTCTGGGCTGTGAGCACACATGGCCAGGGCATGTCCAGCCTCTGATCCACCAACACCCCCAAGTCCCTCTCCACAGACGAGGCTGCTCCTGGTCACTTCTCCAGCCAGCCAGTACCTGGGATTGCCCCAGCCCTGGTGTACATGGTGTAAAGGAACTTCCACTGAAAATAGGACAATCCCTTTGGAACAGTCTGGCTTTTAAAAGTTCTGTTTATGCATTTAAGGCACCAGAATTATTTCTCTCACAAAGTTTAACAGCAACCTGATACTGAAAACAATATTGCCAAAATTGTAAAATTTCACTCAGTTTTCCATGCACTAAAGATTAAAATAGCCTCTGTAAAAGATATATATATATTTTTATATATATATTTATATATGAAAACTCTTATGTACAGTTGTATCAAATACTTTTCTCTTTACACAATAATCCCTTGCATTTATGTGCTTCATATGCAAGTTGACTTTTGAACACTTCATACTTCTCAGGGAAGTTTTAAACTATGTACAATCAGATGACGCTCGAACAGGAGTTTGTTCCCCATACAAGCTTGTTTCTCATACCTCAGTTGGTTGCCTTTGCCAGGCCATCAGTTCAAAATTCGAGGTAGAAGTAAGTAGCCTAACTACTCTGTGCAAAAAAAAAAAAAAAAAAAAAAAAAATTAAAAAAAGTAATAGTGTGTTTGTTAATTTGCACGTGGCAGTCAGTCTGTGCTCTCAGTCCAGAGATCTGTTGGGCAGCTTGGGCTCGTGAGTGGAGTCGTGGCGTTGGGCTGTGGTGCTGTTGGGCAGGAGAGCCTGCTCCACCTCTGCTTCCCTCTGCAGATCCAGTAGTGCTGGGGTTATTTCGGGAAGCACGTTCAGTTGTTTTAATGACCCTCCTGCAGGTGAAGCTCTCACCAAATTAAGGTTGTTAAGCTCTGAAGGCTTTGCTGCTGCTTGTGAAGAGCCTGCAAAACCCCAAAGGAGCAGCGTGGTTAGGTGATGCTCAGCCTGCCAAGCACTCCCACCCTCCATGACCCTGGAGATCTTTCCCAAGCTTCATAATTCTGTTCTGTGCTCAAACCAGCCTCACCGCTGCCATCCACGCCTGTCAGCTAGTTGAAAAGGCTGAGGGGAGCACATGGGACTGTGTTCCAACCCCACTGGTGCCCCTGGGGATCAGAGGTGACCCCGAGGAAGGACATACCGTGCGTGTCTGCGAGCAGAGCGCCGGCCGTGCCCTCCAGCCTTAACCTGTCGTGGTTACTGGGGTACAGGGTCCCGTCTGTTTCCACCCTCTTGCCACTGGCAATCCCATTGCAGGGCTGAGCATGAAGAAGGCTGGTGCCTGCACCCCTCTTCCTATGGCGCTCCTTGCTGCTCAGTGCACTGGGGTGGGTGTTTTCCACAGTCTTTAGGCTCTCGGAGTAGCACTCGGAGTCTCTGGGGTAGATGTGGACGTTCATGCTGTCCGTGCTGCTGCTGCACTCCGTGCACACCACGGGCAGCCCGAAGCCTTTGGGGGAAGAAAGGAAAATCAACAAGGGAAGATGAGCAGCTGCAAGTGCTCACCACTGGAGCACACAAATCATGGAAGGAAAAGGCAGTTCTGTGTAGTTCAGTGGGGGAATCTCTCACTAAATAAAGTGGACACTCCATGGTCTTACACAGGGCTATTACACACCCAGTTTTCAGAACTCTGTAGTCTCCATCACTAAAAGTAGTTCCAATTAACAGCTTTAGTTAGTCAGGGATTCTTTTCACTCCAAAGAACTTGGAGCTTTCTGTTTTTTTAAATAAACTATGTATTTCCTTTTCCAGACCTTCTAATCAGGGTAGAAATGCAAAGTGGAACTTTCCTGTAGCTGCTTTAGCTACCTTTCTTATTTTTGTGCTGCTGCTTTACAGGGATCACCATCAGCCCACACTCTTATCTCAAGATATGTTATTACTGGTAGTGGGAACTACAGATGACCAGAATTCAAAGCAGCAAGGAATTCCTAAATGTTGAAAGTTAATTTCCTTAGTGCACTCAACAACTTTCCATTATTAAACTTTACATTAGTTTCTCCTAGAGAGAAAATGTTTCATTGGCTGATTTTCTGTGGCTTTTACAATACAGTGTGAGAACAGAATGCACATCCTAAAAATAGAAAACTATGAGTGTAACACCCAAGAAATTGGCAAAGGCAGGTGTAGTGCCCAAAACAACCTTTAAATTTTGAAAATAAATTAAAAAGCTGAGCTTTGAAGTCAACAGCCCTTTTAAAAGAGCATGAAAAAATTTAACACTTTTCGTTTGGAAAGTGCTCTCATATCTTCTCATACAAAAATCATAATATTTTAGGAATATTAGGAATATTCCTAAAATATTCAATATATATCACAAAATTCCCATCAGCCAGCTGATTTGCACAGGGTGGCAACTGGGAACTTTACTCTTCCTCTTTCTGACAGTTCCTCAAATTCCAACTACCCAAGCTTGAGAGAGGATCGAAGCAAGCAGAAGAAAGTAAATTCTCTGTGCTTGCACCTGAGAATCATTCTGAAATATTTTTTCTCTGAAGGTAACAATTTCTTGTGTTAATGCTGTCTGACTTGGAGGGTTTTGTGATCTGTACAAACACGAAATACCTTCCCAGATTAATGGGGTTTGTACCTGTCTTATCTGGAACAAGCATTCCATTGGCCATGTCCTCAGTTTTCCAAGTGTCTTTATTATAGCTGATACACAGCTTAGGCTGTCTACAACCTACAGCAGGAGCTTCAACATCTGGACACCTTCCAGCATCAGCCTGACACATCCCTGTAACAAACAAACCATCTGGGTAAAGATCACAGCCATCTGCTCACAGTTAGATGACTTGCTTGTCTTACACTAGAAAAGGGAGAAAAAATAGCAGTGGAGATAATAGATAATTTTCAGCTAATATTTAACAGAATAAATGCTGCACAATCTCAGGAGGATCTTAGTTCAGAACTCTTCTCCTTCTTAATGTGCTGTGTTTAAATAGCATAAAACCCCAACATTTAATTTCAAAGCCTGAAGGCAGGGACAGGCAATGCTAATGTATTTTCTAGTATGACTATGGGTAACTCTGCTGCCAAAAAAAAGAATCCAAAATTAGCAAAAAAACAGTCCTTAGGGCCTGACTGAGCAGATTCTGGGGCAGTCAGCTTGTAGGAACACTTACTCCTGGGAGAGGAGAGCTCTGTGAAGTCAAACACACATCCCTGTTCTGCATAGATGCAGGAGTTACATTATGAAGATCTCTCAGGTAACTCAAACACAGAAGCACTCTGGGCTGAGATTTCTACCTCCCATATCAAGTTCAGATCCAGCATTACAGAATAATTAAACCATTTCTCACCGTTGCTGTCAATGTGCCCATTGGGCTGCTGGGTGTCCACTCCAATGGCCACTTCCTGGCGCTCTGAGAGAGTCCCTTGGGAGGACAAGTAGCTTGGCACATCAGGAGGCACAATAGTCTCATCTAGAGCAATGGGAGCAGGGAAAAGTCAGTTCCCAGCAGGATTTTCAAAGTAAATTTGCATTCTCAAGGGGTATTTGGGACCAGATCTAGAACCGGTTATTTTCTGTAGGTGCATTGGAAACTGAACTGCCTAAATATTCCTCTCCCCTCAGAAGCCCCATTCCTGATTTTTCAAAGCTTAAAGCTGTGAGACAGAGTGCTGATAAAGGCACTTTGAGTATTTGCATGTGGCATGGTCGGTACATAGTAGTGGAGTAGAATGATTTATTCAGAAAAAGTAAATCCTTCTCTCTCCCCTGAAATTCAGTCCCTCCTTCGACTCAAGTCTTCTGCCCCCTGAAGTCAGGAGTAAAAGCATTCTGCAGAACAGGGTATTTGGTTACCTTAAGCAGGAAATAAGTGTTAAGCCTGTTAGCTGTCCTTGGCTTTCCCCATTTTCTATCAGGCAATTTCAGTTTCCCTTGCCACACAAAACCAAGTGAAACTCAATTATATCAGGCACGAAGCGCTGGATTTTCAGGACTATAAAAAGGAATTATGAAAGTATCCCACTAGTACATCACACTGCTAATAGTCTATCCAAGACTTCCTACCTAGCCTGTGTCTTCAAAAATCCTTTTGTTCTCTATGTAAAGCTAAACATAATGTAGGAAGGCTGGAAATTCCAAGCAGGCTGGGAAATTCTTAGGCTGGTTCTTTCATAATTCTGTTTTGTTCAGAGGCTGCATAAGGAGGGCAGGAGACTATTCTTACTGCAACACTTATTTCAGCACCAAATTATCCCCTCTGAATATCAGGAGAAAGCAATAAACACTAATATTTCCTCTAAAAAGTAATAGATATCCCCACCCCCCCATCAGCAGGGCAGGCTCTTATAGCCAACATGGAAAATGGATTCCAGCTTCAAAGTCTAATTTTTCAAGTTTTGACTTCAAAGTCTTTAAAAATACAGATATCCAAAAAGTAAGACAGGTTCCCAGCATCATGAACATCATCCAGACTGTCTCAAAAGTTATCATTTATGGTCATGGAAAACCGAAGTAGCAAAGCAATGGCTGGAACTACTGCCAAGTGGAAAAGACCTTCCTGAAGAGCAAGCCAAGGGGAGAAATGCAGCTCTGAACATGCTTCAGCAGCAAGTGAAAGCTGGTTCCAGCCCTGTGAGCCAAGAGAACCAGGGAGATAAGCCAGCTGCAGTTCCAGTGGATTGTGAGGCTCCCTGATGAGCCGGCTCAGCCTCGGTGGGATGTCTGCAGCACGAAAGGTTAGAGGGGGCCTCAGGACACCGGAGCTACCTGTGTTGGTGACACTGTACTCTTCACTCTTCTTCCTGGTCTGGTAGATGATGCAGACCCAGACCAGGGAGGTGAGCACGATGCTGCAGACCACGGCGATGGTGATGATGCCCACGGTGGTGCGGTCCTTGCGGCAGCCCAGCGACTGCAGGATGCTGACGTGGCTATGCGCGCGCTCCGTGCCCAGCGTGTTGGACATCTCACACGTGTACTTCCCCGCGTCCTCCAGGACCACGTTCCTGACGATCAGCAGCTGGTTGCCCGAGGTGAAGTGGTGCCTTTCTGTCACCACTAGGGGCTGGTCACCTTTCAGCCAGGTGATGCGGGGCGGGGGGCTCCCCGTGGCTTTGCACTGGAGAGCCACGGTCTCACCCACGGACACCACGTGATCTTCCAGTGGATGGACCAAAGATGGAGTCTCTGCAGGAGAACAAACACAGAAATTAATTCATAGGGACAGTGTAACAACAGATTTAACAGCACTGAATATTCCTCGTGTTCCTGCAGACACAGCAATGCATGAAGCAGGCACATGCTCAGGAGTATGTCAGCTGCCTACCACAACTGATCTAACAAGCACAGTCAAGGTCTCACTTCTCACAACCAATTAGTGTTAAGTTTTCCCAACAAGAAACTTCTGAGGACATGGGCCAACAGCTGACACGTGAATTATTTCATAGGGCAAAAGAGATGAAGTACAATTTCCTTCTGAAGTAATTTTCCCAGACAAATAGGCTGGTTGGAGGGGCTTCCTTGGCACAAGAGAAGATGTGACTTACAGCTCCTTCTCTTACTTAACAGGTATTTTTCATTAGTGAACTATGGTGTAAAACAATGAAACAAGACTAAGACCATTTGACTCTGTCTCTCTTTTATCTGCAACCGGTAAAGAGCTTGAATGGCCCCCTCTCCCAGTTCCCACTTGCACTCGGCCTCCTGGGGCACCGGTGATGCCTTTTTGGCACTACCTAAAAACAGAGGCCAGAAAAAATAAGGGAATAAAAGCAGTTATATTTTTTGAAGGGCCTTCAGGTACATTTAGGGCAGACAAAGCCTGCCCAGGGACTACACCCAAAAATGGATGATGGGTTTTCATGCTTTTATAAGTTTGGTCCATTTCCATATTGAGGTAAGTAATTTACTCGAAGTCTGCTTCCCCACCAACTCACTTTTGTTTTCTTGGGGTCTGAGACAGTGAGGTATCCTTGATTCCCAGGCCTAGAGAGGAATTGTTTTGTCTGACCAAAATGGGAGAACAGTAGCTAACACTCTATACCGAGTTTGGAGTCGCGCACTGAAGAATTGCAGGATTACAAATACATGAAGAAGTATAAAAGCTAAGATCCTAAGGCATCTTACCCAGCACGGTGAGGGTGGCATTGGCGAGCACGGAGCCCGCAGAGTTCTGGGCTGTGCAGCTGTAGACGCCCATGTCCTCGATCTTCACGTCGGTGATGAAGAAGACGTCGTCGTCGGGCATGACGTGCATGCGGCGCTCGCGGGCCGCGGGGAAGTCGGTGCCGCCGTCCTTCTGCCAGGCGATCTGGGGCGTGGGGTGGCCCTCGGCCGCGCACTCCAAGCGCGCCGTCGTCCCCGTCCGGCTCGTGATGTCGTGGGGGGTTTTGATAAAGGACGGCAGCACTGATAAAGGAGAAATGAGAAAAGGGCGTGAGCGATTCCGTGGGGAAACACCATCTCCTGGGCAGGTCTGTTTGCCTTCCCACAGAGGGGATTGAAGTGACAATTACCCACTGGCAGGAGGATGCCCACAGGCCTTGGCAGGGTGTCTCTGAACTGCTGGGGACTGACCTTGTGTTTCTACAGAACACACCTGTCTGCAGAGTCCGTGACACCCCAAACTATAGACATGGGATCAAAGCTAATTTTTTCTGTGAAACCTGGGGAAAAAAAATCTATCTCTCCTACAGAGAACTTCCAACTGTTACATCCCTTTTCTTTGCATCCCTTTGTATTTTCATTTTCATTGGGCTAAGAATCTACCTGAGCAGCCAAAGAGCAGCAGCTCAAGCTGTTAAGAACATTCATGCTGAAGTGCTTGGCTGGATGGCAACCAACACAAAATGGTGTGTGCTCCTCCCAGGGCATTTCCCAGCATCCACCCAGATACAAACAGCAGCTGTGCAGAGGTTAAGAGCTCACCATCAGGAACAGACCCTCGGGAGAAACTAAGTGGATCCCAAGGAATTGCACCATGTAGGAGCTCAGGCTGAGGAAGAGGAAGCAGTTCCCACTCACCATTAACGGTGAGCCGGGCCTTGTTGGAGTAGGTGGAGCCGAAGTGGTTGGTGATGACGCACTGGTAGCGGCCCTCGTGCGCGAAGGTGACGTGCCGCAGGTGCAGGATGGTGGTGCACTCCATCACCTCCCCGTCCTTGGCCCGCACGTGAGCGAAGTTCTCGATCTCGGCGTTGTGCAGCATCTCGTTGTCCTTCTTCCAGGCAAACATCATGGGGGAGCTGCTGCTGCTGGCGGCCAGGCAGGTGAAGCGGATGTCCTTGCCGAGGACAGCCACCGTCGTCTCGGGCTGGATGATGATCTGTGGCTTGGGGAAATCGTCTGGGAGGAAACAGCAATAGTCAGTGCTGGACTCTGAGGGCAGACTAGAGCAAAGCAGGAGGTGAAATGAGAAATAAGTGGTGCTGTGTAGAGCAGGTGTGCCACACACAGCTCCATTGAGTCTTTGGTTTACATGGGATTGTTGTTCCTCTGGTTCCTTCAGTGGGCTGAGATGGTCACCGAGTGACCTCAGACACCTAAAAGACAGCCAGCTCCTTCACCAACTGAATCTAAGATACTGTGGTCTGAAGAAGATATTCAGGCCATATTCAGGTTGTCCTTCCTTGTACAAACCATGCATGAAGAGCACAACTAAACTTAGAATGTCACCTCCAGACCTGAATTGGCATGCAATAGGATGGGGGGAGAGGGCAAAAAGGGCTGCAAGTGTCACCTCCAGAGAAAATCACCCACAGGAGGTTTTACTGAGGTGGAGATTGGTCTCTTCTCCCAGGCAATAGGACAAGAGGCAATGGCCTCAAGTTGTGCCAGGACAGGTTTAGATCAGCTAATAAGAAACATTTCTTCGCCAAAAGGGCTGTCAAGCACCAGAATGAGCTGCCCAGGGACGTGGTGGAGTCACCATCCCTGGAAGTATTTAAGAGATGTGGCACTCGGGGCCATGGTTTAGTGGTGCATCTGGCTGTAGTAAGTTAATGGTTGGATTCAAAGGTCTTAGAGGTCTTTTTCAACCTAAAGGACTCTACGCAGCCCATGCTGCCAAAGCAGAAGCAGCTGTATTTGCCTGTCACCCGACCAGGCTGGAAAGCTTTGCACACTCTCTCTCTCTTCCCTGAAGACTGTTGGTTTTAGCAAGGTTCCAAGCAGATTCATTTATTAGGTTTCTACAAATGGTGTAATTTAATATTTGACTAAGGTTTAATTAAACAGCCAGGCCTCTGGAACCAGGACTACTAGTGCCTGGAGGACTTGGCAGGCACCAGGAAGCAAAGCTGCTTTTGCTTTGTGATGTTGCTGTGGGGATGGAGCCTTCAGGATCTCTTCTTCCAGATGAGCACAGCAAGCCTCCCTCCCAGCCTGCTCAGACAGAGGCCACCTAGGCAGAGCATGTCACTGGGGGATCAGGAGGGACACGGGAACAAAGCTTCTGCTCTGTGTTCAGTGCAAGTCATGCATTCAGCTCAGTTAAATAGTGTTTGCAAAAGCTCATTTTTCCTTCAAACAGCCATGTGCAGCTCCACCCAGGATCCTCACTGCTTGGCTCCACTGCACAGGGTTTGGCTCCCAAACCAGGCCTTTCTTTTCCCCAAAACCTGAATGCCTCAACAGCATTGATTTGGCCAGCTCTGATGATTTGAATTTCTTTTTCTTTATGAGAAAGGCGGTAGATGTTTATGTGTGCTGGGTATTAAGTAAAGCTGCTTTGAAACCATGGCTCAGGTGCAGAGTCAACTGCAGTATTTGGGTGGGCCTTGCTGCCCCCAAAGAACCAGCTGTGATGGAGGGACTCTCCTCTGGGTTTTGTTTTTAACTCATTGTTGTCTCCAAGAGGGAGAAAAGATGAGTGAAGAACACAAATCCACAGAAGAGCTCAGAACACTGCAGAAGGGAAAAAATTACATCTGCAGTCTTGATACTATCAAGCTGAGAGGACTGGGGAAGTGTCTGTGCAGCCCCATCTGGAAGTGGAACAGGCCTTAGTCCCTTTTGATTTAATAGTCAGGGAGCCCTGTAAGGAATACTCTGGATGCAAGCAATGCACTGTGTGGTTTTAGTGGGAAATAAATTGTAGCCAATGACAAATTTTTTAAATGCAGGCTTGGGCTTCCTTTGATCCCGCTGAATAACGAAACAAAACAGAAACACTCTCATAATAACATGCTGGTACTCAAAGAAAATGTTTCCCAAGTGACTCCTACCCTTCATACAACCTCAAAACACGCAGGCGAGACTTACCACACACAAAACTCTCTGGCTGGATGGCAAAAATGCTCTTGCTTTTCAGTGACTCAGGATGGGCACAGGTGGCCACCACAAAGGACTGCAGCTCCTTCTCCACTAACCACTGGGGCAGCCACTTCAGCTGGCAGTCACAGAGGAAGCTGTCACTGTTAATGTGGCTGCAGGGAAACAAAACCAACACGAGCCTGCTGTGAGTCCTGCACACAGGGAAGGCTGGGAGGCTCCCAGTCCTTTCATGTTAAACACTTTCCTCCTGCCCCCCCAGCATGGGTGGAAGGAAGAAAAAGGACTGCAGGGATGTCCTCGAGGCACTAAAAATGTTACAGATGTGACACATTCAAATAGCATTTCATCTCCACGTAGACAAACTCCCTCCTGTACTGCAGTGACATTGCAGCACCTTGTAATTATGAACCAGCTCCCAGAGTGATCCCCAGGAACAGACAAGAAATGTCAATGAGTTCCTGCTCTGCCCCTGTGGTTTGAGCATCTTTGGTGGGGACCAAATTCAGCACTTAACTACTGACCAGAGAGATATATACTGCCTTCTATAAGGTGACCCTGGAGTTGTGTTTACTGCTTAAAAGAAGCAGTTAGAGGAGAAATGACCAAAGATATTTGTGTAAACCCCACAGAAGCAGTAACTAGTGTGGAAAACAAAACACATAAACATTTCTCAGCATCCTGAGTTCCAACCCCACCACTGCAGTATTTTGATCCAACACTAGCTTAGTACCTTCTGTTAGCAAAAGAGTGTGAAAAAGGGGTAAAGAACAAGGGGATTAATGTGGGGTTTTTTAAATATTCTGGGCCAAATTATGGCTCAGCACAGCTCTAAGGCCAGTGAAAAACTGTAAATTTACATAAAAAGGGCATTCATACTTTGGTCTGGTTTGAAAAACTCAGTCTGATCCTTGGAATTGAATGTGAGGATGCCTCAGAGACTGGGAAAATGCCCCAGAGAGAACTTCTGTCCTGTAATACTACAAGCTATGAAAGAGCAGAGTATCAAGAACACAGCAGAATTCCAACTCCAGCACTGCACTATAAGATGTGAATCTCCTGCTATTTTTCTACCTTGGGAAATCCTGAAGTTTGAAATGAAAAAGAGAGAAAAAGAAAGAAATTGACTGGAGAGGGAGGGAATATAGGGATTTGATTTTTCAAAGCTGTCCACTTTGCTGTTCTAGAAAGATGTGTAGCCTCTAACACATATGATGGCATAAATCCCTCCTGGCTGCTTGGAACAGGTCACAAGGTCCTTCAGCACAAGGCATTCTGCATCTAAATGTCCTCTATCTGAACTTCTCCATTTTATAAATATTCATTCACAATATCTGGGATCTCACTGTCTCTTCCTAATAAGATCAATCTTTCAACTCAATTTTGTTTCAAGTGCCAGTGCAGAAGGTAAAGTTTGTAATCACACAAGAGATGCATGGTGTTTATCTTGTCATTCCCAGCCACTGGTATCAGGTGTCACTGCCAACAGTGACCATCTGATTCCCATTTCCAATGTCAGGAGCAAGAACCTGCACCTGCCCAAATACCAAATAAATGATTTTGTGTTCCATAGACACTGCACTACTCTGGGGCATAGCAATGCACTGACAGTAGATTAAATATTTATGGGGAAGAAGAGAAAAGGAAGCCAGGCAAGAGTGGAAACAGTGTCTGATAACAGTGCAGAGCCCCATCCTGGAGCACAAGCAGCAGTTCTGATAACACATCTGTATTTTTACACCAGAAGGCTGAATGACAAGTGGATGCAGTTCAAATGGTGCTTATCACTGCAATATCAGTCCTGTGTGTGAACCCTAAACACAGGTGTACAGCGAGGGAGCAGATGGGCCACTGGGAATTAAATCCATGGTGGTGTGAGCAGGAGAAGCTAACAGGACCAGAGCTGGACTTCCTGGGCAGAGATGAATAATTGCACAGGCACAAAGCTGCTGGAAGAACCTGTGCCAGTGATCTAATTTCACTCACTATTACATGCAAGATGTTCCCGTGACAGCTTCTCCTGTGTAAAAAATACCCCACAGAGGAGGATGCAGGGGAGGGGTGAAATGAGTGAGCGGTAATGTGGGTAACACCCGTGCTGCTGCTCACATCTAGGGCCAGGAGGAGCCCTCCTGCCTGAGGGTGTGAGCAGGGCAATCACTTACAGCTGCCGCAGGCTCTTCATCCTGGCAAAGGCATCGGCTTGGATGGAGCGGATGGCGTTGTCCCCGAGGTTCCTGCAGGCACAACCACAGGCAGTGTGAACAAAGGGGATGCCACGGCTGGGACAGAGCCTCTCCACATTGATTTCAGCACTGACTCCAGTAGCAGGAATCAACATTAGCCAGCCAACAAAAATTACATTTAATTAAATCACTAGGTCATCCCCTACCCAGTCTTCTCACTACACTTTCTCAGTCTGAGCTACTACATCCATCATCCATAGCTCAGGAATTCCTCAGCTCCCTTGATAACTAAAGATAGTCTGGAATGTGGTACCCCACATAAAAGAAGGCAAATATTTGCACTAAGCAGCATCTGAGGAATTATTTGAAAATTACTTGGAGAGGATACTGTTGGGTTCAAAAAATCCCAGTATTTCCAAAGGAAGGGGTTAAAGGCTTCCCTTACAAATATCACTAATTAAAATAATTTGTTCTCTGAAAAAGCACAGTGTCAGATTTAGGGCTGAAGTTTACTAAGTGACATGTAGGGCAGACAAGCACTGCTTAAAGAGGACAATCTCAGTAGAGAATTAAGGGCACCTTTATTTGGGAATGTTCTCCCAATCAGGCAGCCCAAATCTTTCAGCATGCTCTTGATGGCCATAACATTTCATACAATCAACAGCCAATAAAACATGTAGAGCACAGTCACATATACTTTAACTCGTCTTAATCCAAGAAAGGAGGTTATTCATGAATCACTGCTGGAGTCATCAGCCTTGGGACACAGAAAAAAATTACACAGAGCCAAAATTGACTTCTTGCAAATGGCTCTGAGGGGGGTTGTGCTGAATGGAGATGTTCAGTGGGGATGCATCGAAATCAGTCATCTGCAGCACATGTCACTGCCAGAGCCCAGGTTTAGGGGGAGGCTGGGGCAAAAGAGGAGAGAGTGTTCTGTCTGAACCAGCCTATTTTCATTGCTAACAGCCTGCAAAGCAGTAATGTGCAAGTCAAGGTGATACTCTCAAAAATTAAGAGCATGCAAATTTCCCATATGTTCTCTGACTTTGTTCCTGGCACAAAAAAAGGCCAAAGCTGAGGCGGACTTATAATGAGAAGGAAGCAGGTGGCCCCCACAAATGGACTGGCTTCTCAGTTTACAAAGACACTATTAAATTGCTAGCAGATTTCTCAAGCAGCTACTTTTGGCAGACCCCCCCCTTCCCAACCTCTGAGGCATGGTGGGTTACTCACAGGTGCTCCAGAGCCTCCAACCCTGAGAACGCTTTCTTGGCCACTGACTTGATCTTGTTTCCAAACAGAGTTCTGCAGTTTCCAAACATCCAGTGCCAGATAAACAGAAAGAAAATGGGGAAAGGGGGGGCAAAAAAAAAAAAGGAACACAATTAGTGTGGCTTTATCTGATATATACACTCAGTGTAAGTCGTAGGAAATCTGAACTGCACAGAGATTAAGAGGGCTGAAGCACACTCGCTTTCCTGCTCCTGAAATTAAATCCTTTTATCTGTATTTGAATTTAATAGTGATGACAGCGCAGAAGGGAATGTGCCATGTCACGTAAACAGGCAGGTTTGCTCCCATGCTTGGGAACCAGCTTGCTGAGTAACAGAAGGTCCCCTCTGTTCTTCACAGGCAAGCTGTGGACAGGATTAAGTGCAGTGACAGTTTAACAAGATATTGGTCTCTCCCCACAGCACTTTTCATTTCTGACTTCTTCTCAGACAGGAAAAAGAGTGGTAATTTATTCACTGGTGCTTGGCCTGAGCTATCAGCACACAGAGCTAGGGCTGCCCCTGGGCTGCACATTCACATGGCAGCTGACTGCTGGCACTGCTCATTCCTTCCTTGTAAATACAACAGCAAAGCAGCATCATGCAACAGATCATAGCCAAGGATAATTTCAAGGAGCAAAAGGCAGAACAGGTAATGTTCAGAGCTGAGGAGGGGGCTTGCTTGCATTTGTGATCAGAGAGCATTCCTCTGAATCAGCAGTGGCATGAGGGGACTATCAGCAGAAAACAGCCAGCTGGAGAGATCCCAGCCCAGCTGCCATCTCCAGAGCAACAGTTCTCCATAAATATTGACCAGTGCTAATGGCCAGGGGCAGGGTTCATGCCAAATGGACAGTCTCTCCACCTGTTTTAATAAAACATCAACCAGTGTCATTAATTAGGAGCTGCTTTCCTTCCCCAGGCTCCCTCTAAGGTTTATCCTCCAGGTGCAGCTGTTATCACCATGTGGTGTCCAGGGCAAGTCATCACCCACAGCTCAGGTGAAGAAAAGGCACATCTGGTGCTGCATTTGATTTTGAGTTTTCATTCAAGAGCTGTCCTTCAGCATAGGGTGTGACCTGTATCTGCACCCCAAAAAGACAACTATGATGGTCCCACTGCTTGCTTACTGTCCAGGGAAAGGAGTACAAGATGGAACGTGTGCAGCCATTTCATGAGCAAATACATTACCAAGAACTTGTCAAGGCTTTCCACAAAGCACTTTTCAAATGTCAGGATAATTTGGTTATATACTGGCTCCCAGAAAGCCCAGTTTCAAATACCCCCAGCTCCAAAGGATGTGTGCAATCATGTGTGCCATCATTTGGTAAAAGGGATGTTGCATTAATGAAGGCTTTGAAAAATCCATTAGAATGATTAATACAGTAAATAATTTACTATATGTAAACTCTGGTCAAATGGCTGCATCCATACACACTGATTTCTGGAGCCATGTTCCTAAATAAGTGTGTTATAAGGACAAGGCAAGGATAAAATAAGGACTAAAGGAAATGGCCTCAAGCTGTGCCAGGAGAGGTCTAGACTAGATTTTAAGAAAAATTTCTTCAGAGAGAGTTTTGTAAGCATTGAACAAGCTTCCCAGGGAAGTGTCAGTCACCATCCTTGGAAGTGTTCAAAAACCTTGTGGATGTGGCACTCCAGGACATGGTTTTAGTGATGAATATGGTGATGGTGCTAGGTTAATGGTTGGACTTGATGTTCCTAAAGATTTACAATTCTAATTGAAGTTAAATGGGCAACTGCTGTTGAAAAAATTATGTTGAGCTTAGGTTTGATATATGCAGATTTCTATTACAGTTCAGTGGATTCTGGACTTTGAAAATTGGAGACAGTGCTGGTATCTGTTTAGTTATCTGTGCAGAGTACAGTACATTTGGGAAGGGAATACACAGCTCCACCACTTGTGTAGGTGCACAAAGCTTGATGCCTGGACATGAGAAATACCTAACACACATGACAAGTCAGGCCTCAGCAAACTCATTAATAATTACTCCTTGCAACTAATTTCAATTAAGTGCCTCTACAAATCTGAGAGTTTGAACCTAGTAGCCCCCATCAAAGGGCTGTGGAAGGCTGGAATGTGAAGGCAGCAGAACACAGCCACAATCAGCCATTCCACTGCTGGCCAAAACCTCCTCCACAGGGCAGAGCCAAGCACAAGCTCTCCTGGAGACTGCACCAGTGTAATTGTGGCACACAATTCACTGCAGTGTTTTCTCCTCCAGACAGTTTACACCTGCAGGAAGAAGATCTTGCTGAGTGAGCCATCAAAAAGCCGGTTACATTTAGCAGTTTGAATAATTAGGAACCTCCTTGCTCTGCAGCAATTCCACCAGTGCTTTTTATGCTTCAGTGCTTCTCGAGTCCCTCTTTCTTCAAGCAACATTTTAATTCAGGCCTGTGCTCTCCATCCTGGAGAGCTTCATATATAATTCAGAGAAGGCTAAAGTGACTGGCCTCTCCATCTCTGTTTAACACCTTCATGTCAGCGAACAACCCTCTCTGTGCTAAATCCTTTCAGAGGCTAATCTGTGCCAGATCAAAGGGGAATGGCTTTTAAGGCAATCTCCACAGAGCTGAGGTGATTATTAATTCATTGGAAGGTCTCCTCTGAAGTGCCCATTTATTTTTTGTATGCTAATGCATTTAAAGTGGTTGACAGTTTAAACACGAGCCCTAAATCACACAGTGAAATGTTTGCTGTTAAGGGCTGATCTTTTATTTACAAAAATATCCTGGTACTCATTTCAGCCCTAGAAATCACTAGTTTGGGATTTATGTGCTGATAAGCTAAAACAGTTCTGAGGAGATGCCTTTAAAAGTGACCACTCACAAGTATTCTCAAAATGCCTCAAGGAGTAATAATAAAATAATTTCATTTTCTGAGCATCTTTTAGCCTTACACACTGGGTGACAAGCAAGCTGTCTGTCCCACAGCAGTTCACTCTGTTAAGTAATCAAACCACTCCTGTCTGCCCCAAACCAACCTGATCCTCATGTTTTTCCAGGCTATGAAATGTGCTACAATTCCCTGCACAAACCTTCCCTGCACATGTCCCTCAGCCAGACTCAGAGCTGGCCCGAGTCCATGTGCAATGACAGGCATCAGTCAACAAAGGAAGAAAGATATAAACCAAACTTCCTTAGACTTGCACAAGCCCATAGTGCATCTTTGTGTACCAGCAGCTCAAACCAGCAATCTTTTGGAGGTGTTCCTTGTGCTTGGTGACAAACATCTCATCAGGCATTTCACAGGGGACAGCAATAGCTGCTCTGCCCAGAGTTCCAGCACATAACCCCACAGGCTGCCCCTGCTCCCTCTTCCTTCCTCCTCCCGCTCCTTGCTGTTCCTCCTGGCCTCTGCCTGACCCCCACAGCTCCTCAGGGCTCCCTGCTCCTGCTTTCCAAGTCAGTCCTTTTGCTGAACTCTTTCCTTCCATGCTGTCTCCTCTGGGTTTTTTCACCACTCTCCTGTTATCTGCACCCAGCATTTCTAACATATCCTAATCACTTGGGACCACTACTTTTTCTCCTGTGCCCGTGTTGGAGGGATGTACCAGCAGTGGATGTACCACCAGGACAGCTCTCTCTGCTCCTTTCCACCACCTTCTCTCCCTTGTCAAAGCAGCATTACAGACTCATAATCCCTACAGCCTAAAAATCCCACTGGGCAAAGTCTCTGCTCCCATCACCCTTCCAGCTGCTCACATGATCTCACTGGGTTCTTCAGACAAACCAAACACTCAGGCAGCCAAGGACTCTTCTACCCACCATATCTGCTCCTCTGCCTTTTTTCTGGCAGTCATGGGAAGATCCCCTGACTCTGCACACACAGCAATTCTTACTGACTTCTCTCTCACTCCCACACTTCTGCTTCCCCATCTGGCTCCCCCTGTCCTTAAATCCTCCTCTGCCTTCTGTCCCATTTTACTTGCAGCTGCAACTTGGTCCCCTCCACATGGACCCAGTGACTCCCCTCAGCAACCATCAAATGCCATCTCTGTGATTTCAGATTTTTCTCCTCTAAGCACTCCCATCTCCACAGACCCTGCCATGGCTCATCCCACTCCCCGAGGAGTCTCTAATGAGAGCGTGACAACATCCCGCCTGCCAGGATCCATCCCAGCCATCTGCTATCCATCGAGGTACTTTTACTGCACCTCTGGCTGTGCCATCCCAGCATCACAGACAGCGGCATGGGGGGGTGCTGAGAACTTCAACAAAGGCAAGAGGTAATGATTAGAGACTCTTGATTTGTCACAAGCCATCAGAGACTCCTCTGACAGGGCTGATTTATATCACCCATTTCAAATGGAACAGGGACTTGTACGGAGCAATGTGAAAATCCTTGCGAAGGCCAAACAAGCCATAAACATTTGCAAGGCGCATGCTTGCCTTGGGTTTCTTTTTATCTCTTTAAGAGCCTGTGCCCCATGGTGCCTTTTATTGTCACTGCACATGGAACTGAGCCCAAAAGATCACTCTCAGAAAGAGTATCCCACAGAAACGAATCCTGTTTCAATCCTCTGTTGTAACAGGAAGTGGGGTGATTTTTCTCTCTGTTTATTGTTATTTTCTGCATCAATCAGTGCCTCGCTGAAGACTGCAAGGGGTCATTTTTGTTGTTTGCTTTTAGAAGTGAGGAATGGTTGTGCTGAATTTTATACATGAAAACAGCTTAAATTTCTCTCTGTGTCTGAACTGCAGTATGTGGTACTGTCTGTTCACCATTTAGAAAGGAAATAATTGCCTCATACCTGCTTAAAAACATCAGTGCTTAAAAACCACATTTGTGCTCTTGCAGTGAGCCTGCAAAACTGTTACAGCTCAGATTTTCTCTTGATTTTTGTCTTGTTCCAAGGTAAGGGAGGCTGCATAAAAAGGGACAGACCCAGCCCCACACAGGCACACAACAAAACTGGCTTGCAGAATTCAAGCCCAGGGATACTCACAGCTTGCTCAGGTTTTCCAGGCCTGTAAAGGCTCCATTGGTATCTTCTATTGTGCCTGAGATGTCGTTGTGGTCCAGTTCCCTGGGGGGAGGACAAGAGAGAGCTCAGAATCAGCGCCTTAGTCCCAGTGTCACTGTTACAAACAAGTGGAGGAAGCTGGAGAGTGCCACATGAGAGCTTCTCATTTTCTCCTGACAGTTATCAGAAAATGCAGAGTCCTGCAGCAAAGCAGCACCAGTCACTTCTCCTGCACTGATACGTGGTGGGATGGTGCGTTCCAGAAAGAGCTCTGGCTTGTTCCTAGCTAAAACCCTCCAAGACAGCTTCTTTTTACCAAGTAGGTTTCTGCCCTTTTCTAGTTCTGTGCATCCAAACAGAAGGAGAAAAATTAAAATGAAGTGCCAAAATTAAACTGAAAGAAACAGCTGTCCTTAAATGCTACTGCCATGAAATAAGATCACTTTGGGTATTCCAGTGTATGCATGTATTTGTCTATAGCTGAATCTTAGGAAGAAGATTTGGTGTATTTTCTACAAAGCTGCATTTTTTCTGGCAATGAACTTGAAAACTCAACAAAGGAAAGCGCCAGCATCACTGCACCAGCCTAACTCTGTATAATCATTTGAAAAAAAACCAAGAGAATTCCTTTTTCAGAGTTAGCTTCTTTTGGCTTTCAAATTGACCATCAATTACAAGAGTCAAAGAGGTCTGAAGAAAAACAAGCACACAGAACAAACACAGAGATCCACAAAAGCTGTTTAAACAGTCTGTTTAAAAATCCTTCCCTCCCAGCTTTTAAATCCAGCTAGCAATGAATACCCAGCAACACAGACAGAAATTCATCATTTCCAATGTTAAAGAAAAACTAAATAGGGCTTTGTTGGTTTTGTTACATCACTCTGATTTAAAACCTGGCAAAACACAACACCAAAGCAAACTTCACCATCCAGATAACCCCTGAGCCCTCAGGTACTCCTTTCGCACCTTTTGAAGATGATTATCTGAAGGTTTCCAGATAAAAAAATATTAAGACCAAAGAAAGAAAAACCAAGTCCCCCTGCATTTTCCAACACTCCAGATACAGGCATCACAGTGTGGCTTCTGAGCAGCACAAATACACAGTAACTCACAGGAAGGGAAAACACAGTTAAAAGAAAGCCACAGTTTCAATATGGAAATGGTTTTCCCGCAGCTGCCTCAGTCTTTGCTCCTTTCTCTACTTTAGGGTGAGCTAAAGATGTGAAGGGAGATGGCCAAAAGCCACAATTCCCGTTTCTCAGCTGGCTTAAGCCTGGGACCTGAATCTCACATCCCTGGCCTTAGCCAGCATCACTGTGGATGTCAGGGTGATCTCTGTGGGCTGCTCTATGCCAAAGGCATGGACAAAATCTCAGCATCCCCGTGGGGTGTGGGTGCACATAATGCTGTGGTGCCCGAAGAGACAAATCCAGGAGAATGCTTTGATCTGCTGGCATTTCCAGCACTATCCTAGTGAGACCAGGAGCAAATACATCCTCCTGGAGCTCAGCTTCTACATCTTCCTTACAGTTGCCAAGCCAAGGTCCCTTGTTCTGTTTGCTTTTTAAGGGAAAATCCCTTCTCAGACACTTCTCCTCTTCAGTTTCACCACGGGCTACTGGTCTTTGGAGCAGCAAACCCTTTCCCATGGCAGAGACTGACAAGTGGGAACAGCCTGTAGGAGCTCTGACACACACTTTTATTAATTGACTGCCACACATTGTGTTTTCTTGAAAAAGGGAAAGAAAATGGTATTGCTTGTTCATCCAGTGGCAACTCAAAGGTTTAGTGTTAGAAAGGAGGAATAAAAACCTTTTTAACAAATGAGTGAAAATAGAGAGAGGGAGAAAAAAAAAAGAGTGGGGTATTTTGGCCCAGCTCTCTTTGTATTCCAACTCCTCTCCCAGCCCCTGTTGCCAATTTCCTATTCTTTCTGGCTGGCTGAGCTTGAATGCTCGAAGCCTTGTTAATCATTGTGCTCAGAGGTCTCCGGGCCTGACCTCTATTTGAATAGCTCCACATTTCAGCAGTTTCACACCCACCAAAGGCTCCCCAACAATAGCCCATAATTAAAGCATGCTCAGCTCTTTTTCACCAGGTGCAGGACCCAATAGGCCTTTCTCTTTATTAAATTAGAGCTCGCTCACACACTCCCTCTCTGCCTCCCCCCTCTGCCCTGGACATAAAAGAGGCTCCACATTCAGTGCAGAGCAAAGAGAAGGACCAGCTTCCCTTCCCCTCCATTTTTCTTTGGAAACCTTTAGTTCCGGTCTTGACAGCTGCCTCAGAGAGGTCCCTTTCTGAATGCCCAGTGGCTGAAAGGCTTTGGCTTAAGTTTAAAAAAAGCAAACAAAACCCAAACTCGCTTTCCAGTCACTTCCTTCACTATGAACTTCAATAAAGAAAAGAGTAAGATGCAAAAAGTACTGTAAAGGCAGGAGATTTTTCTGTTCCCATTTCCTTTTAATGACCCAGGCCACAATGGGCTTCTGAAGAGGCATAAAAGTATCAAAGTGTGATTTTTTTTTTTTCTTTTGAAGGAAGAACTAAATCAGTTTGCTGAACCCAACCAGCCTGGGAACATGTCTGGTGCTGTCACAAGGACTGTGAGAATTTTGTGGTGTGCCAGATGAAGGTGCTGAGCCTGCAGCTCCCAGAGAGAGAACAGCCAGCAGCCCTGCAGGTTCCAGTAAGGAGACAGAGACAACTCAGCAGCAGGAATGGAACTGGATTCCCCATCTTCTGATGTTCATAAGACAAGCCCAGATGGACTTCAGTCTAAAACAGCTCTCAACAGTGTATAATGGAACAATGCTACAACTGCATCCCACGGGGGTCACACTGATGTGTCTAATGGGCTCTACTGCTCCTGAAACCTTACAAGTTGGTATTTGGACCAGGCAAATTTGGACTATCACATTTCCAGGTATTATATTGCGTCAGTGGTTTTAAAATAAAAGTCTGTGGTAAATGGCCACAGCCAGCACTGGGTGAATCATTTTTGCAATTCAGTACTAGGGCTCGTGAAACTTTGCCCTTGGCAACTTTCTGGTGTTTCAGGATTTGCCATGAAAATCAGAGCACAGAATGTTTCATGGGCATTAAACAGAAAGACTTCTGGTTACTTGCATGGTACCTGCAAAAGCTTCTTATTTCTGTGCCTGGACTGAAGGCTGGGTGAAGTTTCGTGTTGTTACACTTCTGGTACAGTCAGATCCCAAGCCCAACCTCTACATTTCTTTGTTTTCCCATTGTTTTTTTTCTTGACATCATCTTAGCCTATATTTTTACATTTAATATTCAGTTAAAAAAACCAAAACCAAACAAAACCAACAACACAGAAGTGCTCAATAGCACATTTAAGAGGATATTCAAATTTCCAGTGTTGTCAGTGGAAGGAATCATTCCCTGCTCATTCTGAGTGCAGAATGACCCAAAAGAAACTAAGTTTTTCTAAGACTTGCAATTAAAGTCAATATGATAGCAAGAGAAATACTGCTATTAGCTGCAGGAATGAGACCTTAGGGATTTTTGGTCAGCTGAAGTGGCTTCAGGAACCTGAAACTGCCAGACATGGACACTAAAGAATCTTCAAACAGAACCACCTGCAGAACACAAACTTTGAAGGGAATATGGGTGGGGTCTGACAAAAGCTGAGAACAACTTACAGGACACGTAGGTTTTTGAGTCCCCTGAAAGCACCTTCTGCAATATGATTGATGGAATTGTGGCTCAGCCGTAGCACGTGCAGTCCCCCAAGGTCTGCCAGGCTTCCCTCATCCAGCCTTGTCAGGTTGTTGTAGGAGAGAATCCTGAGGGGAAAAAATGTAATAACAGCTCTTGTCAACCCACCTGGTATTTTCCAAACTCCCCTCTGCCAACCAGTGCTTGCCTCCCACAACCACTTGACAGGAGGTGATGTATGCATGGATAAGTAACAACTGGATTAGGAAATGAGATTGCAGCCTGCAGTTGTTGCCAGGAGACACCACCCATGGGGAAGCTGGGTGACACCAAGGGAGCAGGAGGCAGCTGGTACCCAGCTGTGGGGAAATTTTCTGTGCAGGATACAGTGAGAGGCTGCCCAGAAGTGACTGAACCCAACACACACACACACTGTCAGCTACGGCAGGGAGAGCTGCTCCTGCTCCCACGCAGCTGGGTGAGGGTCTGGGAGCACCACCCCTGTGTCCCACAGGTACAGGCAGAGCTCAGATGGCTGTGTTCAATCCTCACTGCCATCTGGACTCCCTCCCAGGCTCACAGGGAGAAGCAGCCCCTGTTCCCTGCGAGGTGCAGAGTGATGTCACACGGATGGATTTCGGAGTTCACACACGCTCTTGGCAGCGTCCAGGCTGCTGTGCTCAGGAGCTGTCTTATCATTCTGCACTTGTGCACAGCCAGCCCCAGGCTCTGGGTGTGGGTGCCTCTGCTCCACCCCAGTCCAGAGCCAAAAGCATTTCACCACAAGGCAATTGAATGCTTCCTTTCACGCACAGAAAGGAGGTGTCTGTTGTAAACCAGCCACCTTTCCTTCCTCCCACTCCCCTTTGTTAAGGAGCATAGTTTGCCTTAAATCCTCTCCACTTGCATGAGACTGTTGGAGGGCTGTTTTTTCCCTTAGTTTTCCATCTGTCTCTTCCCTTTGCCTGTATTATCTCTGGTCTGGGAGATTTTTTTTTTTAAGCACTGCTCCTGTTGCAGTTTGGAAGTTGGCAGGAAGGCAGCTGCTTTTCTCTCCCAGCAAGGTGCAAGATGGAGTTTTGACACAGGACAGGCCTTGGGAAGCTACCTCACACACTGTGCAACCACCTTCTATCCAGAATAAAGCCCTGCTCTGGAAGGCCAGCTTGGATTGCCAAATGAGGGACCTCTCAGAGTAGCAGCAGGCACCAGATTTTTGTAACCACCTTCTTAAGTGACCTGGGAGTACAGCTCACTTCAAAAGATGTAAGGGCTGCTCAACTTTTGAGAAAGTGACAGCTTTGAACAACCTTGAAATCCTCCACTGTACAGACAAGAAAAAAAAATTTCACTGAGTTCCAAACCTCCACATTCCTCTTCTAGTACTGCCTGTTAATGAGTCTGCTTAAAAATGTGTCTAGGGCTTGCATGACATTCACTGCAAAGCCAAAACCTAAGTCCAAACAGACATATACTCCAAAGTAATTTACTTGGCAAAGGTGCTATCTTTCAGCTAGTGGGCAGAGGGCAAGCTGTGGAAAAAATTCAGCAAAGATTAATGAGTTTGAAGGTATGGGACAACATATTTTCATTCCTAAAGAAGCTGCAGTGTTAGTTAGGAAGAACTGGCATCTGATCAAAATTATGTCCTCACCTGCTATTAAAGAATTTGGCTTTAAAAGAAAATTCTTTTTCAAAAGTAATCCTAAACCTGGCTGAGAAAATAAATAGTTCCTTTTGATTCCACATATAAGAGTTCCTGCCACAACTGGTGAAGGCATGTTGCCTCTGTTTGCATGGATGTCACCCCAAGATGGACAGACAGCAGCAGGACATGGAGGCTCTCAGTGGTGTCCCACATGGAAGATTTCAGGAGCCATGGCACCCGGTAGTGGCTTCTTCAGCATGCAGGGCTCTGCTTCCTGCCACAGGAGAGGCCAATTGGCAAAACATCAGGTTTCACCCTCAGCTCAGCAGTGTGGATTATCTGGTTGAGAGAAGCCAAGAGATCTCTGCTGCTTCCTCGACCCTGGCATCCTCTCTACTAGTGAGAAATCACTGGAATGAATAAATGGCAACATTTGTCTGCACAGCCCTTCTAGCCTGGCAAGAAGTAGGAGATTTTGAGCTCCATGCCAAAATTGGTACAGAAAGGGGTTAACCAGAACCCTGTTGTGCAACTGGAGCTGCTGCTGCCAGCCTGCTCTGGACCAGGTACACCTAACATACTTCATTCCCACTACAGGTAAAAAGGGAAGGATCCAGCAGCCAAGCCACCATTTACCTCTGATGAAATCCTGTGCTCCCACTATGGGTTTTTCCATGATGTCCTAGCACCTGACTGGTGAATACAATCAGCCCTTTCTCATGCTCACAACAAGGCAAGAGCTTTCTTTCCTTGTCAGCTTTTACATCAGACCAGAGCCTTGGGGGTCACGTTTTGTCCCAGCAGCTGAATGAGAGATAACTCCTCCTTCAGATGACCAACTCCCTCATTAGAAAACTTTGAAATTCATTCCCTGTACAACCACAGTGTTTTCAGGTAACTGAAACCCAGAAGATTTAGCAACAGTGGAGGTGGGCAAGGATCTTTCAATCAGGAATGAAATATACACAATTAACAAAGCTCCTAAGTCAGTCTAGATGTATCTATGGCTTCCTTTCCTCACCCTTGAATTTCAGCACAGACATCTCCTACAGGTACTCTCTGGCTGTGGGAGTTTCAGTTTGGAGATCTGATGGCTCCCTGCAGCAGCCTTACCCTAAAGGCAGCACCTGAAAGAGCTTGTAGTACTTTGCAGGGATGTGCTAACACCCACAGGGTCGCCTTTCCCATCACTGACTGTGTCTCTGGCCTTACACTCCAGCACAATCCTGCCTGTCAGGCCAGGCACGCCCCAGTGGCTCACACCACCTCACACCACTGGGCATTTTCCAAATCTACCCCATCCTGCACCAGCATGACTCCTGCACCTGAGTTTCTGCAATTACTGCTTCTAAGGCAGCACAGCTCACTGTTAGAACTGCTTGTTGGGTGAGATCCTAATCCTTACCTGTGAAAAAGGACTCAGCATGACAAGCAACCTCCAACCTAAACCTTGAGGGTTTGCAAGACAGTGTCATGTAGAGAAGACAAGCTCAGCTCTCCCTGAAAGAGTTCTGACATCAGCCCTGCGAGCTGCAACCCAGGCTGAAATAAAGCTCAGCACAGGCACCAGATATTTGGTGCTGAGAGCAGAAAGCTCTCAGAGCTGTGCAGTGATCTGCACTTGGCTGTTCCAAGGATTCAACTGTGAGTGCCTTGGCAAGGCAGGTTCCCCTTTTTTTGATGCTTCAGATTTAAAGACCAGAGGCAGAGCACAGTTCCAGTTCTGATCTGCTGCCTTGAAGATCTCTCCATTAACACTGCCTTCATCTAGCAAAATATCATGTGAGGATCTACACATGAAGGAGCTGCAGCTGCCCACAGAACTGTGCCAGACGTGGGCAGTTCTGCAGCAATTTGAAAAATTAGGTAATTAAACAATCATGTGTGTATTTAACTAAAACCAAAAATAAAGTACTTCCTTGTGCCCCCAAAAAATAACCAACATCTGAACAAATAATTTGGGTTCAACGGAAGATCACAGGGCTAGCATGTTAATTCTAAAGATAAATAAATTACATGTGTCATGTCTACCCATCTCTGAATCCCACAGGCCAAAGGTTTCAGGACTCACAGCTGGGTGGGCAGATACCAACCTCTAGTGTGAGAGCAGAGTGAGGCCTCTGGCAGCAGGAAGCTGTTTTACCATACTGCTTTTTGGTGTATAGGAGAATCCCTAACAATGTTTAACACTTCCCTGCACCAAGCAGAATGAATTCCAGTTCCACTGACGACGTGTCAAGTTTTGCCAATGAAAAAAGTGAAGCTTCCCACAGTCCCACCGAGGGAATGGCACCTACATCTGTAAATACTGCAAGCACCCCTGTGAGTGTCTTCAAAAAGGCATTAAAGCAGTGCCACAGATCTGAAAGGCACCCTTGTGGAGCTGCCCTCAGCAGCAAGGCTTTCCTTCATTTGTCAGGCTGTATTCCCAGCTGGAAACCTCAGGAGAGCAAAGCCAATGTATTTACCTTTCAACAACTGAACCCTACAGGAAGGATAAACTGTAAACAGGAGAAACAAGGAGAACTACCTTTAAAAGACCAAATCTCTGCTGGTTGAAAGCACGATTGTTCTTTGTAAATACAGAGGATAAAGCAAAGCTTCCTTCAGGCTGTACAGTTATTATATGGCAAGTTACAAGTCTTGTAACTCGCTAGCTAAAAATGTTAGCAAGCCACAGCTCAGAAACTCTCCAGGTCTTCTGGCACTGTGCACCTTTTGTGGGTTCTAGCCTTTGTTTCTGGTGCAAATGTTTTAACCAGGTGCTCTGAAGGCCATAACATCATAAATAACAAGGGCATCACTCAGGAGCCTGCAGTTCCTGCTTTTCTACAAGTTGATACAGTGGGAGCTGTAAGCCTTGAGAAAATTCCTGACTCCCGTTTCCTGCCAACATTACACAACACAACAGAAACCAACTTACAGCTCATGCAGCTTCTGGCAGAAGCTCCAGCCATCGGGGTTGATGCGGGATATGGAGTTATTGCTGAGGTGAAGCTGGTGCAGAGAAGAAAGGCCATAGAGAGAGCCACTGTTCACTTCTGTCAGGCTGTTATATTCCAGGTGGCTGTGGAGAAAAACCAGAAGGAATTGACAGATCAGCAGCACTGGTCAAATGCTGAAAGAATTTCCAAAAAGGAACTGGTATTTTAGCCATTCCTAGACACTTTTCTACATAGCCATGTGGATACATGGGCATTTCTTACCAAACAAAGACAGAAATTCAAGCACAACACAAAGGAAGTGCCCAGGAGGAGATGTGACTGCAGAGAGAAACTCCACTGCAAGTAAACTGGGCTTAAAGCATCCCATTCAAGTTTGTATTTGCAGAGTCCCAGCTGTGTAACAGCAGCACCCAGAAACGTGCTGCCTTCATCACCTGGGACCTCACAAACACACCTGGAAGCCAAGTGTGTTGTTCAGGTATTTCTCTGCAATGAATAATCAGTTTATTCTCTGGTATGGAAAGAAAACATCACCAAGAATGGCCAGCTTGGTTTCTAGGTATCCCATGAAGTGGAATAATATTGTCTGCATCAATAGATAGAGTTTCCATCTATCACTCAAAATAAATTTGCAGAAGTCAAATATTTAAAGACCAATTGAGATAAATGCTGAATGCTCAAATTGTCAAACTTTCAAAGGAATAGTGCCACAGCTTAAAAAACAGTGCTGTTTTTATTGACTACCCGTTGAAGCAGTGAACTTTTATAAAATGTGAGCTAAACAGAAGCTGCTGCAGCAGCTCTGGACATGCAGGACAAAGAAAGAAGCACAGGAGGTGCCACAGGTACCCACGAGTCTCTGCTAAAATACAGAGAAGGATGTGACAGCAGTTGAGGCTGTTTAAGGAAAAAGAGCCCATCTCTCCAACTTACAGAACTTGCATTTTGGCTAGACCCCAGAAGGCCCCATCAGTCAGTTTGCTGATGTTGTTGCGCTGGAGTTTCAGGACTTCCAAGCTGTCCAGACCCTGGAACGTCAGGCCTTCAATCAGGCGGATGCGATTTCGGTTCAGCTCCCTAAAATCACCAAGGCCATACAAAGTTTATTAAACCCCAGTCCTTTCTCACCAAGTCATCTGTGCAGCACACAATGGGGGCAGCAGTGCCAACAACCCCTCTGTCAGTGCTTCCCAGGGGACAGCAGAGCACCGGAAACTTTCAATCCCAGAGCTGTCCAGGGAAGGCAGCTGGGTGCTGCCTTAAACAAACTCACCCCAGGACAGACTTTCACTACAGAGAAATAACAGAGTGCAGCAATTCCTCTTCATACCTCCTCTCTCTGCATTTATTTTAAACCACTGATCCTTCTCATCAATTTTCACACTCCATTCTCCCTCAAGCACAGACACCATGTGAACCAGTACAGTCAAACATGGGCATTATTTCCCTTACAATCCATTGTTTTTACAGGACTTGTAATTGCCCAGTAAAAATGTGCTCTGAAACATGCAGGTGCCCCGAAAGTGTGGGCCCAAGAGGAAACTTTATGGCCAAGTCTGAAAGGAAAGCTTTCAGTTCCCCTGACAAATGCCTTTTTTTTTTTTTTTTCCCTACTATCAGAAACTAATAAAGAGTGAAAGAAGCTTTTTCCAATAACAATGTAGTCTTATATACAAAGGTTTCCAGCCTGGTTCACTAAATTCTTTTTAGTTTCCTGAGGTGGGGAAGGATCCATAAATTTTAGCAGTATCTTTTTTTCTGAATAGCAATATTAACATCACCACAGCACTCTTTGCCAGCCTATATCAGTCTTATGGATTGCTTCACCCAGACAAGCCAGCTGAAAATCCTGTTCTGTAAAGTACACCAAAAACTTCAACACAATGCACTAAAAGCTGAACCTAGAGCTTTTAAAACTGATACTTTTCCACACATATAAAGACTAAGCTAGAGGATAGTTCCCTATTCATTGTTTGTGCTGAGGAAAATGGTGGTTACAACATCTGAACTTGTTTTGGAAAAGATGAAGAAGCCATAGAGACTTTAAGCTTACTTTTCAACTGCCTAAAAAACAATGTTGAACTTGTACTCAAGTTGAGCATGATTAAAGTCAAGTAAGCAATAAAGATTTTGCAGGCCTGAAGTCCCTTGCTGCACTGCACTTCCTGGGCTATTAGTGAAACAGGCTTTGCCAGAAAAAGAACTGTACACAAATTCTACAACACACCAGTCTGGATAACTTGTAATTCATTCATGTTTATCTGTAGAGTTAAACAACCAGCTCTGAGGCTGTCATTAAGAGTACCAATTACTCCATCTCTCAGTGCAAACTGTGTTCCTAAACAGACGGAGTTGTTTTCATTATGGTTCTACACATGATGCAGTCAAACACAGTGAATTAGAAGCCTTCATTCAATGGACAGCAACTTCCAACTGAGAGGCACCAGACTTCTAGATGCATATGCTAATGTGTCCCCCTATCCCATCCAAACTGGCTATAAATTCTGCATGTATGCAGACACAAATGCACACACACTCCTTGGGCACACCCTGGCTTGAGGATTTGTCTCTCAGTCGAGAGGCTGACACTTAGAGGTGCAAGCTCCAACAGCATTTGTGGATTTTATGTTAACAGAGGTGAACCTTTTGCCTATCAAATTTGATGGAAAGACTGAAAGAAGCCTTAGGCTGGGCCCATTTCTCTAACTGCAGCAGAAGGAAAAAGCTCAACCATTAGTGCTTCATTTTTACACGTAAAGCATATTTCTAGCTGCTGTGTTCCCTTGAAGGCAGAACAACAACCATGTGCATGTTAACTCATCTGAGCTGCAGTTTTCTCTGCCCAAATATTACCTCACAGTTTAACAACCTTCCCTCACTGCTTTTTATTGCCACATAAAGATACCTGTGTGGCCTTGAAACACTAACATGGCAGCTGAGTTCTGTCACTCTCAATAGAAACATCTTGCAAATCTCTCTTGCACCACAGACACCAGCAGCTTGTGAGGGAATGGATTTGTCTCACTCTGTCAAGTGCAAAAGATGCTGATGTCTGTTACAGCATCCCTCTCTCCCCACCTGATCCAAATAATAGCCTGAAAAGCCAAGAGTTACAAGACAAAAAGGACCCTCTGCCAGTGTGTCTTCCTAGGAGGTGGCAGAGGACTCCTGCATACATTTTATAGATAGTAGGTGAGGAGGGGTGACATTTGGTGACATGCACACCCCCAGGGTCATTTTAGCCATAAAGTGTGTCAGAGCTTAATTAAAGTGGACATTTGTACTCACAGTTGCATTAGCCTGGGCAGCCTGAAAGCCTTGACAGGAAGCTGAGTGATCCTGTTTTTACTCAGACGAAGTGTTAGCAGGGACCGTGACAGGCTATCAAAAGCACCAGGCTCCAGGGTGCTGATTCTGTTGCTCCCCAGGTAGCTGCAATAAATCACAGCAGAAAAATTAACAGTTCTGTCAGAAATCACCTTTTATCAGCATTTACTTGGTCTGCAGACAAGCTGGTGAAGCTATGGAGATGGCTTCAAACCAGCTGAATTTCTGGCTGCAAAAAGGGCACAGGGCCCTTCCCAGAGCCTGTGATGAATGTGGAGAATTGCTGGGCACTTCCATAGAGCTCCCTGACATCCTCCTACTTAAACAAGGCAATCAGGAAGGGAAGCCAGAAACTGGAGACTATTCCAGTGCAGGATGATGCTATTCATTCCCCATTTTTCCCTCTGTATCTGTCCCAGAGGTCTTTCTTACTTGGATCCCAGTCAGCCACAGGGGGCTGTTTCTGCAGGACAACAGGCAATTATCTGTCACAACACCACTCTCTTACACACTCTTGCAACGAGGAACACAAACTGGTGTAAACTTTAATGCAGGCAGACTATTTGCCTGCACCTCTTCAAAGGTACCTAGAATACAGATTGTTTCATGTTTCTCTGAATAGGCAAATATCCTGTTGGGATGGTGTTACTCTGCTTGACCCCATTTTCTTCAAATAATCAGGGACATTTTTGTTCTCAATATTCAGAAAGCCACTTTAATGATGAAATAGTTGTTCTTTTCTTTTAGATGCACATGGGTTTGCAGTTGTAAAGACACCTACACAGGAAGGATGTAGGATACCTGAAAGAAACCTTCTCTCTGCAACACAAGTAATAATAATCTGCATTCTTTATAGCTACATCAGAAACCAGACAGCACTCAAAAAATAACCTGACAAAAGTGACAATGTGCTGCCTTCTAACTCTCCTTTGCACTTAAAATCCTGACAAATAATCCTATACTTCTTATGGTCATTACTTCTTTTTTTAAAGGTTTGAGGCCCTTTTCTGTGCTGTGGTAACTCAACAAAAGCAGTTCCCAAGAAGACAAACTCACAGCTCCTTTATGTGAAGTCCCTGTGGAAAGCAGCCGTTTCGGATTTCCGTGATGTCATTGAAGCTCAGGTCCAACGTTTCCAGGGTAACATACGGCTGCAGCTGACTGCCTTCAATGCTGCGGATCCTGTTGTGATGCCTGAAACAGGCAGGAGGAGAAAAAGAGACTGTTTAGTTCTCCTAGAAAAACAGAAAGAATATCCGAGGCTGCAGCAGGCCCCCAGGCTGGCCCTGAGCTTGTACGCTCAGTTATGGTGACTTTTCAGCAGCTGTTTGAGGAGAAACCCATTCCAGAGAGACATTCCCTAATCCCCTCGCTGCTCCTCTGGCTGGACACCAGCTCACAGGTATCTATCTGTAGGCTTCCAGACACTTTTTTTCTTCTACAGAGCTACTGACTCCACTCATCAGTTTTTCTTCCATTAATCTGGGCTCTCCTACAAGCCTGCACTTCCAAACTGGATTTGTTACGTGCAAGGACTACAGGGCTGGATTTGAATCCCAAAGGCAAGGAGTGCAGATCAGTGGCTTAGCCAGCCTGCCAAGGCTTGATCCAGAGAATGTGACTTTCAGAGAAGGAACCAAATAAGTAAATACAAACTCAATAAAAGTTACATAATGTTCTCAGCTCCCAAGGATTCTTCTGAAAATTCCCAGCTTTGCACTGTATTACAATGATTTGTAACACAAAGAAATAAGAAGGCTTGCAAATATTCTTGCAGATATTTCCTTATCTTTTGCTATTTTTGTCCCATTGCAGGATTAGGACAACTCTGCAGTGCCAGTGCCTGCACAAGCACAAGCTGCAGGATCAGACCCTGCACTGATCACCTGTGATTGCTGCCTTACCAGGACAGCCTGAGGGATTCAATCTAAGGTTTTTCTTTAGAGAAAGTCTTACAACAGCCCTCAGTGTTTCCACAGCCACCAAACAGTTAAATACCTTTAGACCTCAACTGTACTCAGCAAGGTCTAAGTAAAAATCACCCCCCTACCAAATCCTTTCCTCTGACTCTTTTCTGGCCTGAGTCAGTAGAGAACAGTAATGAATTAAAAAAATACATTGTGCATTAGTCACAAGAGGCAGAGCCTGATGTGAATTTAGACCAGTCACTGATATTACTGGCAAGGCTGTGAGTGAGGCACTCCAAACAGACGCTCACCAGACACTTGGGAACTTGCTGAATAATAAGAGATAGTAAAGAGAGTTCAGACAAGTCCTGTGCCTCAATCCATCCAGATCCCTACTGGGTGAGCAGAGGAGGGGAGAGCAGGCAGGGAAAGCACCCCTGAATGCAAGCCCCAGCTCCCCTAACAAAACATCAGTTCTTTGAAACAAAAAACTGAGGGATGGCTGACACAGCTTTTCAGGCACTGAAGCTTACAGATATCTAGGACCCCATCATCTCCAGCTTCACCCCTACTTCAGGCTCTCCCAGGGGTTCACACAAACTCCTCTTGACAAAAACCTCCTCCCTTTGACAGAAAATGCCAGCAGCACAAGGCTGGGGACCTGCTCCCCACACTGTGATCTGCTCCTTTACTCTCCCTGTTATTAAAACCAGATTGTTTCACCACAGCACTTGCTGGTGTCCACAACAGGAAGACTGTAAAATCTGCAACCCTAGAACAGTTTGCTTTTGGGAGACTCAACCTTTAAACAGCCAGCACAAGGCCCTTGCTTAACACTGGGGGAAGAGGCACAGAAACACTACTTTGACTGAAGAGTTTAAATGATAATTAATTCAGTACAGGCTCAGAAAACATCAAGGACAAATTTTACAGCACTATAGCAGTGTGCTGCTAATACAATGCAGTAAGGTGCCAAGAAAAATCAAAGGAAAGTCATAATTTATGTCTCCAAACTGGTTATTCCATGGGTTACCAGCACACAGGTCTCCACAACCACAACTGTTTCAAAGGCAGTGACATGGCTGCTGTCCAAAGGACCAATATTCATTTACAGCTGGGAATAAAGTCTGAATTTTCACATCCATGAAGATTCAATATTCACATTCTGAATTTTCATATCCATGAAAATTCAGTACTTACACATCTAGCAGGACAGAGGTGCACTGAATTTACAGTATAGTGAGATTAAAACACAGGAAAAATCACTATACCCAGAATTTTGTGACCTCTGTTAACTAAACACACGGGCAAGGGGAATTTCTTTGCTCCTAGGACTAGGGTTGTTTGGTTTTTTTTGCAATTAACTTGATCAGTAGAATCATAAGGCTCAGAAATTTTAAATGTGTGTCCAATCCTGATTCAGGAAAGCACCTCAACACAGACATAACTGAAAGCAAACCAAGAGCACATTTTCTGGAGCTCTCCTGAAGCAGGGGCTGCGAGTTCAGCTCTGATCTCATCTAAGCTGGGATGGCTGAGATGAATCTGGCTGTAAATTAACAGGAAATGAAGGCTTGTACAAACGAACATGGAGAATCTATAAATCACCTGACAATCCCTACGCAGGGCAGTTAAGTCTGCAAGGGACTTGAGAGCACAGAGTGAATTTGGACACAAAATGTTCTTCAGAAGCCAATGTTTTTTGGTTTTGGGTTGTTTTGTTGTTTTGTTTTTTTTGAGTATTAATATTTTTGGGCTTTGGTTGCTTAACATATATCCACTCTGCCCGCCTGCCAGATCTCCCAACCCGTCCCAGAAGACAGACTTGAAGAAGGGAAGGAAAGGACAGGAAAGAACTGTTTTGTTTGAGCCGTGTTCGCAGTTTCCAGGTGACTCCTGTCTGTTCGCCTCTTGCTTTCCATGTGCTGCAGCTGGCAGATGAGATGGATACATTATTTTACACAGGCAGAAAAACTGGCTCCTTTCTCTCCCTCTCCCCATCTCCTTCAAACATGGGCCGACTCCAAATGTAGCTCTCAGCTCCAAACACCATCCCGGGCCAGTCCCAGCTGGGGAATGTCAGACAGTTTGCTGCAAAGCACTGCACCCTCTCAAAGCACTGCACTTCAAACAAAGCCTGGGACTTCTACCATACACAGCATGTGATAAGAAGGCAACATAGCCCAAACCTTTTACTAGCTTGATTACAATTTATTTTTCATTCTTTTGGTAAGAGCCCAAATGTGATTTAACCCTTGCTGTTACTGCTTGGATCCTCTCAGCTCTCCTGCCTTTGTTCCCCTGTTCATCATAAGGGTGTTTTACAGAAAAAAAAAAGACAAGTAATGTTATTAATTTGCCTCTCCCCTTTATCACTGACTGGAAAAGGGCTGGATTTTTCCCAACCACTTCACACTGGGTTGGCTTCAAATGTGACAGATCAGATTTTAGCACCAATTGCCGAAACCAGGCGGTAAAGCACAAATAATTGGTGCTTGCACCACCAACACCTCCAGGTATCCTTTCCTCTCCCCACTCCTTAGGTATCACAGCCTGGAAAAAGCTTTCCCTGCCTCACTTCAGCCAGTGTTACCTCAGGAGTATACAATGACAGGGCTTCAATGTGAGATTGTGCAATTAGAGCCTGGAGTGGGAGCCAAGTCTCTTGGTTTCTATTCCCAGCTCTGGCACTGACTCATCTGCCTTGGGCAAGTTCCTTAACCCCTCTCTACCTCTGGCTTTCCAATGTGCATGGAAAAGGACTATCCAGCTAGGATGATGCAGCCTTTGCTGAGGACTAAAAATCCAAAGTGGAAGCAGCTGAAGTGAAAAAGAAATCATGGGTACTAAGGAGCCCATCCAAGTCCCTTTAGGCTTGTTTATGAATATGGGAGGATCTGGCTGAAACAACTGAACGTCCAAGCTCATACCCAACGTCATTCCCAGAGACACCTCATCTGCAGCAAACACAGACCTGAACACCCCTGTGCCAAGCCAAGGTAGCTCGGAGTCAGCAATGATCCCTCCTGATCACTCCATACCCATGGCACTTGTTCAGGAACTTCACCCTCGGGTCAGCACCAGCTATAGCCACAGAGGGAGAGGAGAGATGGGCAAATCCACCCTCCAGCCCCAGCTTAACCTGCCTGAATCCCACTTCAGCACCCCGAGGCAGCGCAGCCTCTCAGCCCTTGCACAGACCCCTTGGGCTAACAGGAGATTTGGAGTAACCTCAGCCAGCTCCTTGCTGAACCAAGCCCAGGAGGACCCCGTAAGGAAACAAACGTGTGCTCTCTGCTCCTCCGGGCTGAGAAAAACAAGCAGAATGTTCCAGCGAGGCCAGAGCGTGTTTGGGTTTGCTCTGAGTCGGGAGGGAGCTGAAGGGGGTGGCAGGAAAATAACAGGTGGCGCAAAGTCAAAGGCTTGCAGCATTTCCAGGAATCTCAGCTTGTATTTTAGAGGTAAAGTTACACTTTAATCCCGGTGCGTTTCCTCATTCGAAGCGTCTTTGTGAATATTTATTTGATAAACAGGCTGTGAAACATTTTCCACCAGACCTAATAGGGGAAGAATTCACCTTCCTCTTTGCAGCGAGCAAAGAGAACACCACTCAGTTTAATTTATACCTTAGCTTCAAACTCCTCGTGTGAAATGGATGCAAAGCGCAGCACAAACACATTCCTTTGTTGTTTGAGCCACATTCTCTCCCTACAACAGCTGCCCACTCAAAAGCTGACAGTGGAAAATCAAAGCAAGCAGACCCTCAGACAGGAATGCACAAGGGGCTTTGCTTGGGCTGATTTAAATACAATCAGCACAAAACCTCCTGGTTCAGACAAAGCTTGAGTTAAGGCTGCCGTGGGTGCTGTGAGTCTGCAGCGTAAATGTTCAGTGTGAAGCCAGGCTAAAGGCAGGGAGAAGTCACACGCCTGGCCTTCATGTAGTGTCAGCTTACAGATCTGGCCGGGCTCACCAGAGAAAAAGGAAAGCTGTAATACAGCAAACCTATTAAACCAGCACCTGTTATAGGCATCAAAAATAAAATCGAGCTTCTAAAGAGCGGCTCTGCACCTCGGGCAGGGCTCTATTAATATGCCAGCACATTTTCAAAATTAGCGTACGAGGGAGATCACAGGACTAGAAAGAGAGAGATTTTAAAAGTTCAGGGTTTGGTTAGTATTTCCATCCTGACAAAGTATTGAAGAAACAAAATGCTGGAGCCAGAAAGAGTTATGGGGTTTGCTACTGGAGGACAGGCAAGGTTTGGTGTCGGAGACTGGCCGTGCA